TGTTGCCTCTCAAACCTATCAATTTCTATGAAGGTGAGTGTAATTAATATTACATTCTACCTCAACAAGTATTTTCCTTATTAAATTGTATCCAATTGCTTTCTGTATTGAACCAGATTTCTCTGGATGATGTCAAAAAGAATGCTGAAAAAGCGCTCATTTTACTGATCAAATAACAAGCACAGAATCATTTAACTCCTTCCAAAGGGGTAAGTTTCAGTACATATTTTACTCAGTTTATCATCTGCTCTTCAGTTCACAAAGGGTTTAGTTTGTCAGTTAGTCAGAGGACAATGCATACTGCCATTAACCTGGCTAATTGTGGCAGAGCTCTGACATATATTGATTCACCCTAATGATCATAACTGGAGGTAAAGAGGAAGAAGATAGTTTTGAAAAATGTCCTAATGTTTTAAACATGTATGGGGCAGTAAAATCATCATGACTGTAGGTCATGGTGGCACACGCTTGTACTACCAGCACTCTGTAGGCTGAAGCAAAAGTACTGTTGTGAGTTCTAGACAAGTCAGGGCTACAGTGTGATTTCAAAGCTATTCTTAACAACAAAGTGAGACATTTGGCAAAAAGTCAACAAACAAAGAATAACAACAAAAATGACTCACATACCTCACTATGGTTTTCAGGAACTTGAAGGACTAATAGGGCACATGCTACTAATACCTCATTCATTAGCACCTTAAAAAAACAAATGAAATGTGAAAAAGCTTACTAAGATTTATATTTAAGAATATTAAAAATTTACCTTAAAAGTACAAATAGCACTGCACTGCCCTTCTTTCCAAAAAGTAAGTATAAAAGCTTGGTGTGTGGGCACACACCTACAAGCTGAGAATGAGAGAGGCTGAAGGAGGAGGACCAGTGTGAGTTTAAGGGCAACCTGCACTACCTAGAGAACTCAATGCTAGCCTGAAGGATGGAGATAATTCAAGCCTATTTCAAATAGTGCAAAAAGGCCAACCATCAAAAGTTATAAAATCTCCTCCTCCTATGTATTATAAACACTTGGGTTAGATACTAATCCAAACCAGAAAGGAACCTTGTTTCAAGGAAGTTACCAAAAAATAAAGATTCCAGATTTTAGACAAGAAGAGCAGCTAAATAATGAAAGGCCTCAAGATGAAGTCACAGGGCCTAGGCTTGCATGTTTCCCCAAGGCATGAGCAGAACGTGATTGCAGTGTAATGAGCCCTTCCCAGGCCCTTAAACCCAGATATGCATCAGACATGCAGGCAGTGACCCAGCACCAAGGCCTTTCCCAAAAGTACCTGTTTCAGAAATCATAGACGTGCCAAGGTTAATAATCAGCCGTATGCCCTCGCTACATGTCCCTGTTCCCAACTGGGTCATAATTAGCTGAGTGGCCATACTTGTAATTCTCTTATTCATTGTAGTTTGACCTGTGTTGTTTGCACATTGTGACATTTCTGTATGTGATAGACCTGAAAAGAGGGCTGCAAAACAATGCCCTTGGACACCTCTTGTCTCTCAGGATCTCCTGTCTCTCAATAAACCTTTCCAAATATTAATGTCTTTCAACTCTTAGTATTCGTGCTTTTTGATTCAGGGAATATGATCTTGATTTGTCTGATAGCTGGAAGTTTAGGAGTTCTATTTCCCCTATATCTCATGGATTGGAAGATAGCAATCCCAACAAAAAGAAGGCCAGATGCCAATTACCTAACTGTATAAAATCTTTGTATAGTTTTCCCCCAATAGTGGAAAGAGTGCATGCAATTATGGAAGTGCAGATGTCAATCAGAAGTATTAAATGATTAAGGAGGGAAAACAAATTTAATCTTTTATGTAACTTATTTTGCGTAGTGTCTCACTACACAGCTCAGAGTCTTAGTGATCCTACTCTCACTTCTGAGCACTGCAATTACCCAGATGTTGCACCATGCCTTTTTTCTGTGGCAGGCATTGGGAGCCCAGTGATCCAGGGCCAATACGTGATGCCATCCCGGAGATGAAACCCATGTGTTTGTTTGCCAGGTAGGTACTTAGGCAGCTGAGTTATCTCCCCAGCATGAGAAAAAATTTAAAATGTAAATAGAATCCATATAGGGTTGGAATAGAATAATTTTTAAAAGAAAGAATTATAACCTCTAAAGATAGCTTTAGAAAAAATTGACCAAAGATTAAGAGTAATTTTTGGGTCCGGGAGATAGCTCAATAGAATCAGCACTTGTCTGGTAAGCACAGGGTCTTGACTTCAATTCCCAGTACTGGAAAAAAAAAAAAAAAAAAAAAAAAAAAAAAGAGAATTTTTCTTCAACAAGTTCCAAAAGTAAACAGCAGATTCACTTTATAACAAAAAAAGGCAGAAGTTCAAAATAAAACTTTACTTTCAAGGAGCTGGGAAATAGTAAACAAATCATCTGTTTAAAGTTAAATGCCAAAAAAGGAACTAGATGTTGTTTTTCTGATAAGATGACCTACTTCTGTCACTCTAATGTAAGGTGACTCACTTGTGACTTCAACTGTTTTCTTTCTCCTTTGGGGCACTGAGATGAATGTTTCTCCGTTTCCCAATGAAGATATAAATTTGGAAGGCCACAATTCATATGCTATGAGGTAATACAGGAGTAGTAAGATATCATGAGATGGTGAATTCAGACTATCATTTTGTCTTTTAGATATTTCCCACTTTCTCAGAAGGTTACAGGAAAATTGCATATGACATAGCTACTCACTTCATTAAAGATGAATTGCAACAAACTTTCATTCCTAAGCACATTGTCCTTCAATTTCAAACGTAATGTGCCTAGAAGCTACAGCCTGATGAACACAATGGCTCTCGGAGTTGTGGCATGGAAAGTCCCTTCTCTGTGCCTCTGCACATTCTGTCTCCCACTCTCTTTTCCTGCCATGCATCAAGCAGTTTTCGCCTCTAATGTCCTGAGCCATCTTGGATTTTCCCAGAGTTAGACACCTGTAACACAGTTCTCTGAAGCTGTGACATAATATAAATCTCTCCTCTGTGCCTTTCAGGGTTCTTCTTTAAGCCTCAGCAGTATGATCAATACACCACTCTTATTACCATATAGAACTGAAAGTCCTAATCAAAAAAACTAGACTAGAAAAGAAGTAGGAGGCCTTTATAGCAGAAAGTGTGTACCATTTCTTCCATTTACAGATAACATGTTCTTATACAAGAAAACCCTAGTACTATGCTGAGAAACATAACTGTAAACAATGTTAGTAAACTTGCAGGACCCAAAATCAACATAGAGAAGCTAGTTACATTTCTAAATACTAACTATACTCCATTGAAGAAGCATTAAAAAGAAGTCCACTTTGAGTAGCATGGAATGAAAAATATTCTTAGCAGGGCCAGCCTGATAGCTCAGCATACTAATGTGCCTGCTTTGGCAGAGCGCAGCACCAGAGTTCCATCATCAGTGTGCCTTGCTGGCCCCGCCTGTGGGACCCACTGAGACTTCGATTGAGACTAGGTGTGGTGGCACGTGCTTATAATCCCAGCACTTGGGAGGCAGAAAACAGGAGAATCACTAGGACTCAGATTTATGTAGTGAGACCCTGAATACCCTGCAGACCCTGTCCCAAAATTCAATTAATTAATTAACAGAGAAAAATAACAGAAATAAATTTAATAAAGAATGTAAAAGATCTTCAAATTAAAGAGTGGCATCCAAAAAGCTGACCATTTTCACAATCAGAAGAATCAATGTTGTCAAACTATCCATACAAACCTAGACAACGCAGAGGTTCAATGCAATTTCTTACCATTCCAATAGTATCTTCCACATGGAAACAGAAAAATTGTAGAATTTGCATGGAGGCAATGAAGACGTGAAATATCTAGAGGAATATTGATCAAGGATAAAGATGGAGGTCTTACACTCCTGAATTTGAATTGTATTACAAATCTTCAGCCATGGAAAACAGTATGTTGCTGCCATAAAACATATATACCCACCAATGGAATACAATAGCAATCCAGAAGAAACTCTGCTTTTAGAACTACTAATGCTTGGGAAAGGCAAGAATTCTACACAAAAGGAGAAACCTCATCTATCCAATAACAGGCAGTTGTTACACTGGGTAAATGCACACTAAAATGAAAAACCAATGGGATCTTTATCTATATCATTCACAAAATGCAACCTAAGAGAAGAGAAGCCTCAAACAGAACATACCAAACCATAAAATACCTGCTAATAACCAGTGTGAACTTTCTCTCCCACTGTGTTAGAGAACATTTTTCAGTTATGACACTACTAGCTTAGGAAGATAAAGCAAAGAAAGCACACTGTACTGCATCCAATTAAAAAGATTCAGCACTGCTAAGACAGTGCACTGCATAGGAAACAATTAAATATGGTCAGCTATCAAAATGAGAGAAAAACCATGTGCAAATCATCTACTTATTCATAAGGATTACTAGTCAGAATCCAAGAATCAAAGTCAGGAAACCTAAAAAATCCCATAAGATTTGCAGATGAAGACAAACAAGAAAAGAGTACAGATCAATTAAAAATGTTCAATGGACTTAGGATACTAAGTCAGGAAGATTCGTAGACTCTGAGGCCATTCTGGGCTACGTAGTTCATTTAAGATCAGCCTGATCTCATTTGACTGACCCAGTCTCAAGTAAAAAAAAAAAAAAAGGGCTTTGGAGCATTTGCTCTAGGGTGGTGTCTTCCCTGAGGTCCTCTTTCTCCAGGGGAGGTGGTGCAGGGACAGGTGAGGGAAGGAGGCCTCCAGCACTTCCTACTGGGGTTGGCCTCAGTCTGAGATCCTCCAACCAGAAAACACATGGGATGAAGACAGGGCTGTCCCTGCATGGCTCCCGCCCTCTGTTCTACCCACCTCTTCCTTTTATACCCCCTGCCTCTTCTTGTGGCCAGCACTCAGAGTTCACACTGCAACCTGATGGACACAAGTGACCACCCTCGGCTGGAGTCTAGAGGAAGAAGTGCACTGAAAAAACTGCATGAATCCTGCTCTATGACCAGAAGTGCAGTCTCCTGGGCGTAGACCAAGTTCTCCTGTGCCTGCACCAAGGTCTCCTGGGCCAGTGGTGCCTTTGACACTTCAGCTTCCATCCCACAGCATCAAGGCCTCATCTTCCCGCCTTGCCATGAGCTGCTTTGGGATCTATAGGAAAGAACGGGAGGACAAGGAAGAGGAATTATTTGAGGTGAGAAGGACACAGAAACAGCTAAAGGAAGACAAGCGACTCTATGCACCCACACACCACCTGCTGCTGCTGGGGCCCAAGGAATCTGGCAAAAGCACCCTTTTCAAGCAGGCAAAGATGCTGCGTGGACCAGGGTTTAATGGAGCTAGTCAGCGGGCCACTGAAGTGCAGAAGGTCAGAAACTCCCTGAAGGAAGCAATTGAAAACGTCCTGTTGGCCATGAGCAGCCTGTGGCCCCCAGCGGAGTTGGCCAACCCTGAGAACCAGTTCAGAGTGGACTACATCTTGGGTGCCAGGGACGAGCTCAGCTTCAGTTTCCCACCTGAGTTCTTTGAGCACGCCAAGGCGCTCTGGGAGGATGAGGGCGTGCGCTCCTGCTATGACCGCTGTATGCAGACTGGGCTGCTGGACCATTCTCGCTACTTTCTGGACAAGATCGATGTCATCAGAAAGCCCCACTATAAGCCGAAACCTGAGGATCTCTTTCGCTGCCGCCTCCACATCCCAAGAATCTTTGATACCAAGTTCCAAGTGGAAGAAGTCAACTTCCACATGTTGTGCATGAACGGGCTGTACCACATCAACCGGGTATGGGCTGAGATCCTCAAAAACTTCAGTGCCATCATCTTCGTGGTGGATAGCAGCAGCTACGACCAGAATTTCATGGGAACCAACAGACTGCAGGAGGCTCTCAACATTTTCAGGTCCTTCTGGAGCAGATGTCCCCGCCCCTTCTGTGTGCTTCTCTTCCTCAACAAGCAAGATCTCCTGGCTGAGAAAGTCCTTGCTGGGAAATCAAAGATTGAGGACCACTTTCCAGAATTTGCTCACTACACTACTCCTGATGGTGTCGTTCCTGAGCCTGGAGAGGACCCACATGTGACACGGGCCAAGTATTTCATCTGTGACAAGTTTTTGAGCATCACTAGTGCTAGTGGCAATGAGGACTGCCACTGCTATCCTCAGTTCACCTGTGCTATGGACCATAGAAACATCCAGCGAGTGTTCAGCCAATGTGCCCAACTAGTCTTGTATTCAGTGAAGGAAAGAGCTGCTCTTAGAATGAAATGTGCCTTAATTAAAGCCTAACATCAATTAATTTTGTAAAATTCATGGTCCTTGGTACAATTTGTTTCTGTACATGATATATGTTGATTCTGCTTTTTAAAACTCTTATTCCCAGTACTTCTTTAGAGCCACCTAGACATTCATAGTCAGACAGCATGGCTTTTATTTTACTGTGCTTTCTCCTTTTTTTTCATTTCCTTCCTTCCCTTCCCCTGCACCAACCCTATTTTCCTTTTCCTTTTGAAGAGTTTCTTCTATTCCAGAAAATCTCCTGTACATTTGTTCTCTTATATACATATTTAATTTCTCACACCAGAGAGATGATGTAATATTTACACATGAGCATGCAATTTATTTCACTGATCATTACGGTGCCAAAGCAATGTACCAATAAATGTTCCAATTTTACCTTGACTTACGACTGAGTAATTTTCCATTTCTGTAAATTTTAAAAAACACACATTTTTTTTTAACAATTTGTTAGTTAGGATGTATTTGGGCTGCTTCCAAGATTTAGCTATAAGACACTGTGTTGGTGTCCACATGGCTGTCTATATCTCACTGTTGTGTGATGCTTTTGATTCTTCTAGGATGATGTAGACAGCAGGAACACACTCAACTAATTTAAAGTGATAGAAGAAACACATATCAGTGAGACTTGCTATAGTCAATATCTGGAAGGAAGATACTGCAAACAGAATCTATTATTTGTACCCTTATTTTTATCACAGTCAACTAAAGAGTCAACTACAAAAGAATGCACAGAAAGTGTCCATGTGCAAGAGAAGCAAAGAATCCACCTGAGGGCCTGCATTGCATATTGGTGGACACCCATGAGACCCTCCAGAACCCTAAAGCCCTTGACATTGTCTCAAACAAGTTTGTTCCATGGAATCACAGTAGAAAACCACAAAGCCATTGGTGGAATGTAGAAAGGCTGTGCTCATGCGATGATACATCTGTGTTAGCAGGCTGAAGTTTCTGCACTGGGTACAGGTGATGATAATCCTTATAAGACCCAGAGGTTGCATAAAAGGTATCACAGTCATTCTCACTAAAGCAGTGTCTCAAGTTCCTCTGACAATGAAAACAGCTGAATAGGTAGCAAGAAAGCCTTCTTGCCAATCTCCTCTGAACGACTAAACAGTGTAATGTCTTCCCCTTGGGAGGCAGGAAGCAATGCCCACAGAAAGAACTAGATCCACAATGTGGACCACAGCCATTCTAAGTGACAAGAAGGACCCAAGCTTCTCTGACAATGACAAGAGCTGAGTTCATATAGGAAACATCAGCCTGGATCCATCCCTTCCTACAAATCACCTTGTTTTAAAGTGATAGAAAAGCCAAGGTTGATCATGTCAGCCATATACACTTACTCCATGCCCCACTTCCAAACTGGAGAAACACTACCAATGTGGACATACTTGTAAGCCTAAAGGTTCATTGGAGTTTGATCCATGTTGTACACTCATTGTGAGTTTGCTATACACAATACCTCTGATGATTGACCTCTGTGGCAACCATGAGCGTCCCCTACTGTTTCTTAGGACAACCGCATTTTCAATAAACTGTTCTTACTCTTAACCTGATTTCTCCATTGAATTTCATCCTGGATGTCAGGTTGCACAGACTCCCCATGTGTCATATCCAAAACGTTGGCAGTTATGCTTCTCTTCCTTCATTTGGGACATTCCACCATGATATTGGAAGGAGCTAAGAGTTTGCTGTTTTTTCACAGCACCTCAAAATTCTTTCTCATGGCTCTTTATTGTGAATTATTGAGGTAATCAAAATTATCATCTGCACTTTGCTGGTTACTTTTGCCTTTCATCAATTGCTTGACCTTTGTAAAATTTGAGAGCTGGAAAACTTGTGATGGATTTGAATTTCTTTCCTCAACAGGATATTTTTTATGGCTTGAGGGTCTTGCCCCAGGGCCTTGCATTGCTGTTTCCTTATATTTTCATTGAGACTTATTTCTATACTGCTTGCCTGATTTGCCTCTATTCATTTCCTGATTTGTTTGGCTGTCATCAGAAAGCTTACAGCTCTCCTTTAGACAGCAAGGTGGAATCACTGTTTTACTTTTTAATTGTTTTCAAGTTTGAAAAAGTATGTCTAAGGAGTCAGCCAGAGGCCATTGAACAGGTTGTAGAAGTTCCCCTCTGAAGAAGATGATTGTTATATGTGTCAGGAAATGCTAGTGTGCTTCTCTCTGCAGTCTTGTAATTCTTTTCTTGTCTTTCTAATTGGAATGTCCTGAAAAAGCCAACAGTTATGCCCATCTCTAAGAGAAGCAAAGGCAGGCAGCCTTTATAGCCTTCATAAACCTAATCTGTGGGTGTGAGGGAGTCAGAATCCATGCTCCTTCAAGAAGGAACAGAGGAGTTTTTTGATTGAGCAGGTGTCTGCTAAGACAGTTCATGTGTGACAGGGTAGAGAGACCCTCATTCAGCTGCTTTGATCATTCATCTCCTTTTGAGCTTAGCAATGGTAACTTTTTGAGTCAGTGTTAACATTTGAATTTGGGGCATGTTTTGCTGAAGATCAGAGACCTACTTGGAGAAAGCATTTGGTCTTGATCATTGTTATGCCTTTCAGAAGTGTCAGACTCACTTCTTGAGCCCTGCTTAGACTCACTACTCTGTTCTCCACTGCCCTTCCACTGAGAAATAACACAATTTACCCCAGTTATGCTTTGTCCATGGTAATTTACTCTCCTCTGGTGGTTGGCTCCCAGGATCAAGTTTCCTGAATTCTGTGTTTCTTCTTCCCTGTGCCCCTTCCAGAAGCTCCTTTCAGACATTCTTTGATCATATTTGAAAAAGTTCATTCATATATATTCCTGAAAATTTAAAGTAGAAATGTACAGTTCAGTTTATCAGCCTTTTGCTTCTTACACAGAACTAGAGATTAACTACTTCCACTTCTCTCTCCCATCAAGAGTGCTGCTCCATGGGGCAAAAGAGATAGCTGAGCTGTCTAAACATCTGGTGGAACATAGTAATCCCAGCACTAGGGAGGCTGAAACAAGAGGATCACTGCAAAACCAGACTTTGTAGTGAGACCCTGTAACAAATACACAAAATTTTTAAAAAAGTGATGCTTCTTGACTCAAACTGACTTTTTTTTTTTTTTTTTTTTTTTTTTTTTTTTTTTTTGGCAGAACCCAAGTTTGAACTCAGACCCTTGCGCTTGCCAGGGAAGTGCTTATTCCACTGAGCCATCTCCCCAGCCCCACAAACTGACTTTTTTATAACAGAGAAAAGAGCATTGATAGAAAACAAAACATTTTCATACATCTTTCCATATTTCAACAGAAACAGGATCCATTATATGGGTATAGTCTCCAGCTAACTCAGCTGCTTATAACATTTGTTCCTCAGAAGAAGTAGCATGCACTGCCATGAAGGAATCATGGGCTATGAATGCTTTGGCTTCTCAGGATGAAGGGCTCATACTTGTTGAGGGGCAGTCAGACATACCCCCCAGAGGTTCTGAGTAACCTCTGTAACAAGGAGGCATTTTTCTTTTGGTCAGCATATGCCTTGAAGTCTTGAAGAAACAAATGCAAATAAATAATTCAATATGTTTGTGCCAAATAAGGACAGCAAAAGGATAACTATGAATTTTGTCAACTAAGATTTTTACCAAGATGAGACAGTAACGACTTTTTATAAAGAGCATAAAGATTGGGTCTAGGCAAATTTTGAGTCTGATATGTCATTGGGTTGTTGTCTAATACTTTGAACAGCTATTGAGACATTAGCAGAAAGATCATGAATGTACACACAACACTTAATATTTATAATTTCAGAGGATCCCCTGTGGTGCTGTTACAATAACAAATACCATTTGATTTTGGAAGATGGCCTATATTAGATAGAATAAAATCTCTCCAAGAAGAGAGCCGGGCACTTAAGAATGACAAAAAGAGCAAATGATGAGAAATCCATTTCAGTTAGAGCTTAAGCAGGATCCTCTAAAGAATTTTACTGAGGTATGATAACTAGAAGGAAGGTCAGAGTTGGAGCAGGACAAAGGGACCTGGTGCAATATCTAGGTAGTAAGCATTTCTTTTCTCTAGTCATGATTACTCAGGGTTCCTTCATGGGATGACATGTAGAGATAACAGTCTCAGGCAAAGGGATAAGACAGCTCCATGGCCTTTCAGTCCTTCTGGACTCCCTGGAAGGTTGAATCTGAGATCTGGCTCCTTCACTTCAGAGTGAAGTGAGTAAAACCTCACTTTTAGAGTCTAACTTCAAAGTCAGGGAATGGCTTGTGGAGCCTTTTACAACAGTTCCTCTTATGTTGGCCTGGTTTTAGGCAGCAGTAGCAGATGAGGCTAGTGGTTCTGAATTCTTGGAATCCAGAGAATCAGGTAAGGATGATTTTACCCCTATAGCGAACTGGACTACAGCTGACCTAGAAGCCCCATCTAGACTAGAAGGTTGAGTAGGGGAATTCTGGAGTTCAGTAATGGTGGGCAAGGATGTGATTATGACTGTCTTGTCCTGGGGGCCAGGGAGATGGCTCAGTGGAATAAGCGGTTCCTTGGCAAGTGCAAGGCCCTGAATTCAATCCTCAAAAAAAAAAAAAAAAAAAAAAAAAAAAAAAAAAAAAAAAAAAAAAAAAAAAATCCTGTCTTGTCTTTAGCCTATAGAGGTTGAGAGGGGCAGCCTCAGGCTGTGAGATAAGGAATATCCTAGATGCTTGAGGTGCCTGTCTGTCCTGTGGTTCACATCTCCATTTCAAAACTAGTTAAGGACTATTTCTTAATGCAAGCAGAACTAGAGCACAAGGCATTTTTGACCATTTTCCTTCTTCTTACACTATCTTTCTAATTGTAAAAATCTAATGGGTCTGGGGGGGAGATAGCTCAGTAGAATAAATTCTTGTCTGGCAAGTGCAGGGTCCTGAGTTCAATCCCCAGTTCCTAAAAAAAAAAAAAAGAAAGAAAAAAAGAAAAGAAACTCAAAATAAGTATCATTGCAATTTCATTTTTGAGTATCTTGATA